CTGCTGCTGCTGCTGCTGCTGCTGCTGGTGGTGGTTGCTGCTGCGGGCGGCGCGCACGGGGGCGTCGGCGGCGGCGCCGTGCTGCTGCAGGCGCTCGCGCCGCTCGCAGCCGCGCAGGGGGACTCCGCTGCTGCTGCTGCTGCTGCTGCTGCTGCTGCTGCCTCCGCCTGGCTGCAGCAGTTGCTGCACTGAATCACCACCTTCCCCTGCAGCAAGTTGAGCTGCAGCGACCTGCCCAGGCAGTAGGGACACAGCAGCAGCGGCCGGTGGCAGTTGGGGCAGGAATGCAGGTCCTGCTCGCCCGCTGCTGCTGCTGCTGCTGCTGCTGCTGCACTTGCTTCCTTTGCTGCATGCTCCCGAATTAGAGACCCCAAAGTCCCCGACAAAGAAGCAACAGAAGAAAGGGCCCCCAGCTCGGCCCCACAGTCGGAGACATATGCGGGGCTTTCCACCTCGCCGTCCCCTTGCTGCAGCAGCAGCTGCTGCTGCTGCTGCTTCAGCAGCAGCTGCTGCTGCTGCTGCTGGTGCTGCTGCCGCGGGTGCAGCGGCGTCGGCTGCCCCTTCAGCAGCAAATGCACATCCAGGTCCGGCCGCAGAGACCTGTCGAAGTCGCAGCCCTTAGCAGCAGGCGCGCGGGAATGTCTGCTGCTGCTGCTGCTGCTGCCGCTGCTGCTGCTGTCAGCAGCTGTCTCTGCTGCCGACGCAGGCGTCAGTGCTGCTGCTCCTCCCGGTGTCAGTGCAGGAGGCGTTGTGGCAGCTCCTGCTGCTCCTGCTGCTGCTGCTGCTGCTGCAGGGGCAGCAGCAAGGCAGCTGCGCTCGCCCATCTTAGCCCCGGGTGCAGCAGCACGAGAAACAGAAGGAAGAGAAATAATCTGAGGCCCTCCAGGTGCTGCTGCTGCTGCTGCTGCTGCTGCTGCTGGGGTAGTTGCTGCAGAAGCAGCTGGCCCCGCTCCTGAGGAGCTCGTCCCCTCGGCGGGCTTCTGCTGCTGCACTTGGGCAGGCGTGCCGGCTGCTGCTGCTGCTGCTGCTGCTGCTGCTGCTGCTGCTGCTTGAGGTGGCTCCGCCTGCTTGCCAGAGGCGGGTGCGACGGCTATCTGCTGGACTGCAGCAGCAGCAGTTGCCGCTGTTGCTGCTGCTGCTGCTGCTTGCTGCTGTTGCTGCTGCTGCTGTGACTGAGCTTCATCTACAAGAGTTTTAGCTGGAGACGGTGCGGCTGCCGTTGCTGCTGCTACCCCCGCTGCGGCTGCTGCTGCTGCTGCTGCGGCAGCTGCGGCTTTCAGCGACCCAGCAGCAGCAGCAGGTGTCGGGACTCCTGCAGCAGCAGCAGCAGCAGCTGGATCCGCCTGAGGAGTTACAGTGCCCGCAGAACTCGGCAGCGCTGCTGCAGTTGGCGCTGCAGCAGCAGCTGCTGCTGCTGCTGCTAGGGGGGCCCCCAGCGCAGCAAATGAGGGCCTCTGACGAACAAAGCCCGTGTCTCTGTTTGCAGGAGACAAAATGCGCGACTGGAGAGACACTCCTCCGTGGTGCCCCGTGAAGAGACGCCGGACCTGCAGCAGCAGCAGCAGCAGCAGCAGCAGCAGCAGCAGCAGCAGCAGCGGCGGCGTGTGCACGGGGGTGCGCGCCAACACAGCAGCACATAGGAGCTGCATCAACACCGCTCGTAGCGGCTTGTGCAGCAGCAGCAGCAGCAGCAACAGCAGCAACAGTGCATGCTCCACCAGCAAACAAAAGAGCGCTTGTTGCTGCTGCAGCACGGGCAAGCAGCAGCAGCAACGAGGGGAGAGCTGCATGGTGCAGCGGCAGCGGCAGCAAAAATCGCAGGAGCGAAAGCAGCAACAGCAGCAGCAGCAGCAGCAGCAGCAGCAGCAAACACAGCAGCAGCAGCAGCAGCAGCAGCAAATGCAGCAGCAGCACCTTCTGAAATTGGTCTTGTCTGATTTCTGCATTCCTCATCCCTTTTGCGTCTTTGAACTCTCCAGAGCCTGTCTTCAATATGCCTTTGTTCCCCCTGCAGCAGCAGCAGCAGCAGCAGCAGCACGAAAACCACTGAGAGACCCACGTGCGCATTCACCCATCACCGCCATCATCAATGACAGCAGCAGCAGCAGCAGCAGCAGCAGCAGCAGCAGCAGCAGCAGCGCGGTTTCCCCGGGTCTGCCGACTTCTTCAAGATCCGCAGTTTTCTCCCAGCCCATTTTTCTGCTTTTCCCATTTGCATTTAAATCCCTTCAAACCCTAGACTAAAATAAAAACAAATACTACTTCCCTATGCAGCAGCAGCAGCAGCAGCAGCAGCAGCAGCAGCAGCAGCAGCAGCAGGACCTGTTGGCTGAAGACCTGTAGAGGGCGTTGCCCTGCAGCCCCCAGACTTCTTCGTGGAGACACGCGGTGAACATGGAAAGAATTCCGGGATGGTGTTCTAACCAAGTCTTGAACTCCGGAAAGGACAAACGCCCGTGCTCCACAAACTGCAGCAGCAGCAGCAGCAGCAGCAGCAGCAGCAGCAGCAGAGGCGGCGGGTGGCGAAAGCGGCACGCGAAAAGGCGCGGAACTGATGCAACAGCAGCAAAAGCAGCTGCAGCAGCAGCACCGGGGCAGCAGAGCGCGGGTGGCGCAGAGCAAGCAACTGCTGCAGCAGCAAAGCAGCTGAAGCAGCAGCAGCAGCAGCAGCAGCAGCAGCACTGCAGCAGAAGAGGGCTGTAGGCGCCGAAGCAAACAACTGCAGCAGCAGCAGCAGCAGCAGCAGCACCGGTCGCGGCGGCGCGCACTGGACGAGCCGCTGCAGTTGCTGCGCCAGCTTCAGCAGCAGCAGCAGCAGCAGCAGCAGCTCCAGCAGCAGCAGCAGCAGCAGCAGCAGCAGCAGCAGCAGCAGCACCTCGCATTCTTCGATGATTTTGTCAGCAACACACTCGACGTCAACAGCAGGCTGCTGGTAAGGCCCTTGCTGCTGCTCCTTCTCCATATCAATCAGCAGCTGCGCAACAGGAGACGGGTTTTTCTTGGCTTTGCTGCTGCTGCTTGCTGCAGCAAGGAGACTCCCCTCCCCCACGCCGTCCTCCGACTCGCTGTCCCCCTCCACCCCCTGCTGCTGCTGCTGCTGCTGCTGCTGCTGCTGCTGCTGCTGCTGCTGCAGGTCCGGCGGCGGCACCGGGTCGGGCGCCGTCACGGACACTGTGCAGCCTGCTGCTGTCAGCAGCGGGGCAGCAGCAGCAGCTGCTGCCGGGGCTGCTGCAGGCGGTGCTGCTGCTGCTGCAGTCCTTGGGGCTGCTGCTGCTGCTGCTGCTGCTGCGTCCGGGGCTGCTGACGGCACGCCCTCCACTTCCAGGTTCTTCGCCGCCGCTGCTGCTGCTGCAGCTGTTGCTGCTGCAGTCGCTGCTGCTGCTGCTGCTGCTGCTGCGGCTCCCACCGCAGCGCCCGCGGCCGCGCCTGCAGCAGCTGCTGCGGCTCCCGCCTCCGGCACGCCCGCTGCTGCAGCGCCTGCTGCTGCTGCTCCTGCTGCTGCTCCTGCTGCTGCTGCTGCTGCCACTGTGGGGTAGCTCAAAGGGCCCATGCAGAAATCGGAGACAGATGAAGCTTCGCTGCTGTCGGACTCTTCATCGACGGGGTCTAGGCCCTCCCTGCTTGAAATTTGGGTCCAGCTGGTCTCCTGCTGCTGCTGCTGCTGCGGCTGCTGCTGCTGCTGCTGCTGCTGCTGCGGCTGCTGCTCCTCTGCTGCAGTGTCCGCGGGCCTGGCAGAAATGTAGTTCTCCAAATTCGGGAGGTTTGAAAGCATCGCAATCAACTCACTCTTTTGAATATAACCGTCGTTGTTCAGGTCAAATACCTGCAGCAGCAGCAGCAGCAGCAGCAGCAGCAGCAGCAGCAGCAGCAGCAGCGGTGTTGGGAGCGGGAGGCAAACGAACGGCAGGGCCAGCAGCAACAGCGGCAGGAATGCAGCAGCAGCAGAAACGACAGATAGAGCTTTTAAATGCAACCCGCAGCAGCAAGAAACGCGCCAGCATCCCTAAACCCTAAACCCTAAACCCTAAACCCTAAACCCTCACCTGAAACAGCACAAACATTCTATCGCTTTTTGTGCCTCTGCAACAGACGGCGATGCCGATAAGAAACTCCTCCAAATCTACACTGCCAGTTCCTGCAAAGACATAAACCCTAAACCCTAAACCCTAAACCCTAAACCCTAAACCCTTGGCAGAAACTGAGGGCCTTCAATGCATCCCAAAACGGGCAGGAAGACGCAGACAAAGAAAAGCAAAGAAAATAGAACAGGCACGGAAGCAGCAGCAGCAACAGCAGCAGCAGCAGCAGCAGCAGCAGCAGCACATGCAGCAGCAGCGCTAGAAACTGCAGCAACATCAACACCCGCAGTTTCAACTGCAGCACAAGCAGCTGCAGCAGCGACAACTGCAGCAAATGCAACTGCAACTGCAACTACGGCAGCAGCAAATGCAGCAGCAACATCTGCAGCAAGACAAACTGCAGAAGCAGAGACAGCAGCAGCAGCAGGAGCGACTGCAGCAGCAGCAGCAGCAACTGCAGCAGCAGCAGCATACCCTTGTAATCAAATTTTTGGAAAAGTCTCTCTCCCCAGAGACCTGGAAGGGGAAAGTAGCGGAGGAACGTCTCCTTGTCGATCCCTGAGCAGCAGCAGCAGCAGCAGCAGCAGCAGCAGCAACAGCAGCAGCAGCACAAAACGCAACAAATGCCCACAGAGAACCATCGATAACGCAGGCAAAAGCACCTAGCCAGCAGCAGCAGCAGCAGCAGCAGCAGCCAACTGCAGCAACCGCATCACCTGGCAGCAGTAGCTGCAGCAACTGCAACAGCAGCAGCAGCAGCAAAAGCAGCAGCAGTAACCAGAGGACGCTACTGAGCATCAGCAGCAGCAGCAGCACGGACACCAGCACAGGCTTCGCAGCAGCAGCAGCAGTAGCAGCATCCGCAGCAACAGCAGCGGCAGTGACACCAGCAGCAGCAGCAGCAACTGCAGCAGCACCCGCACCAGCAGCAGCAGCATCGGTGACAGCAGCAGCAACAGCAGCAACAGCAGCAACAGCAGCAACAGCACCCCTACAAGCAGCAACTGCCCCGGTAACAACAACAGCAACACCAACAACAGCAGCAGCAGCAGCACCACCACCACCATCAACAGCAGCAGCAGCAGCAGCAACAGCAGCAGCAGCAGCAGCAGCAGCAGCAGCAGGGGCGCACCCGGAGCTTCGCTGCGGAGTGCGAGGCTCTTGTAGACTTTTTTGAGAACTTCCACTTCGTCTCCGTCGAACTTTTTTAAATAATGTTTTAAGTTTTCCCGAGACAAGTTGCTGCCCCCCGCCAGGGCGTAGCGGCTGCTCTGGCCCCCCATCTTGCTGCTGCTGCTGCTGCTGCTGCTGCTGCTGCTGCTGCTGCTGCTGCTGCTGCTGGGGGCGTTGGTGGGACTTGCGATGAGGGTCGGGCGGGGCTGCTGCTGCTGCTGCTGCTGCGGCGAAGCGTGTGCTGCTGAGGGAGACTGGGGAGACAGGCACTGTCCCTGCTGCTGCTGCTGCTGCTGCTGCTGCTGCTGGGGGAGGCAGAGGGCTAGGGCCGGCGGGCGCGGCTGCACCCCGCGAGAACTGCAGCAGCAGCAGCACGCGGTGCTGCTGCTGCTGCTGCTGCTGCTCTCGCTCCTGCTGGCGCTGCTGCAGTTTCTACGCCGTCTAGACACTCCGCGCAGGAACAGCTTCTAAAAAGGGGGAAATGAACGGGCGTGCTCTGCGCTGCTGCTGCTGCTGCTGCTGCTGCTGCTGCAGCTGTTGCTGCAGCTGTTGCTGCTGCTGCTGCAGCTGCAGAAGCGCCAGCCGCTGAAGGGAAGACACAGGGGTGGTGAAAAGACCCTCGGGTGCTGTATGTGAAGGGGGATGAGGCAGTTGCTGCTGCTCGCAGCAGCAACTGCAGCAGCTGCAGCCGCCGCTGCGGCCGCTGCTGCTGCTGCTGCTGCTGCGGCGATTCCTACGGAAGTGTTGCTGCAATAACTGCTTCAATATAAGTGCAGAAATAAAAAAAAGCACCAAAGCCCGGTCTAAGCTCCGGGTTGGCGCAGGAGCACCCGCAGCAGCAGCAGCAGCCGCTGCAGCAGCCGCAGCCGCAGCGGGTCTGTTGCAGCAGCAGCAGCAGCGAGAGCCCTCAACGCGGCTCCGCAGCAGCAGCAGCAAAACTCCCTCCGCCCAGCTTCTTCTTGTGGCTAAAACACACAAAAGTGCCAGCAGCAGCAACTAAAACGCCGTGTTGCAGCGCAGCACTCAGGTGTACGTACACCCCAACTGCTGCTGCGGACTCTCCAACGCTAAACCCCGCTGCTGCGGTGACCCTGGGGTTTGCTGCAGCAGCAAGAGCCTCCCGCAAACCCTAGACTCTAAACCCTAAACCCTGGAGCCGCTGCTTCGCGGCTCGCCTAAACCCCAGACCTCCAGCACCTACTGCTGCACTGCTAAACCCTAAACCCTAAACCCTAGCGAGGCAGACAGCCCGCAGCAGCAGCAAAACCTCAGCCAGCAACTCACGCCACTAGCTGCAACAGCCGAAGCACAGACTGCAGCAGCAACAGCAGCAGCAGCAACAGCAGCAGCAGCAACAGCAGCAGCAGCAACAGCAAGCCACCAGAATGCGCCGTAGCAGTTCTTAGGAAGAGTCCTCAGAGTCCGAAGCAAAGACCTGAGCGCTCCTCTGTCTTGCTGCTGCTGCTGCTGCTGCTGCTGCTGCTCTGCTCTCCCTATACGTGCGCTGCATCAGGTGCTGCTGCAGCCGCAGCAGCAGAGAGTGCTGCTGCTACAGCAGCAAGTGCTGCTGCTGCAGCCGCAGCAGCAGAATGTGCTGCTGCTACAGCAGCAGAATGTGCTGCTGCTACAGCAGCAAGTGCTGCTGCTGCAGCAGCAAGTGCTGCTGCTGCAGCAGCATCAGGAACGGCTGCATTGTGTGCACTCAGCAGTTTCTGTATACTCCTGATTCTAGCCGCTCAGTGCGGAGCAACTGCTGCAAGAAATGCAGCAGCAGCTTCTGCTGCAGCTGCTGCTGCAGCTGCTGCTGCAGCTGCTGCTGCAGCAGCAGCTGCTGCAGCTGCTGCTGCAGCTGCTAATCCCAGAGCTGCAACTGCAGCTGCAGCTGCAACAGCCACCGCAGCTGTTCCTGCCACGAATTTTACCATCTCCTTAGAACACGAAAAGTAGCAAAAGCTGCAGTAGCAACAGCAGCAGCAGCAGCAGCAGAAGCAGCAGCAGCAGCAGCAGCAGCAGCAGCAAAATCAGCAGCAGCAGCCTATGGTCCGAACTGCCCCCTTTTGCTGCGCTTGCTGTGCCCTCCCAGAGTAAGAAGGGAAGAAGCCTCAAGGCCAGTTTTCTCTGCTGCTGCTGCATCTGCTGCTGCTGCATCTGCCGCTGCAGCTGCTGTTGCTGCAGCTGCTGCTGCATCTGCTGCTGCTGCTAAGGACTCGCTCTCGTTGCTGCTGTTCCCAATAGCTTCGCTGAGAGG